GCAGCAGTGCCACTCCATGGTGCAGGCACCTCCCATGTCCTCGTCACCACCCCGCATCCCTACCGCAGCACACGAGGGAAGAAGGCTCTTTTGGTCACCAGCCACGTGCTGTCACGGTCATTGAACTCAGAAAAAATAATCAAAGCAGTGAGAATTGTTTTTGTGACAAGCGCTGCGGTGTCTGTGACCCTGGGGCTGGGTGCCAGCACCGGAGGATGAGGGATGGAGCTGCCTGCCCTCTCCCCACACTGCTGTTGCCCTGCTGATAGCAGTCAAGGTCCCACTCCCACTGCAGCTGTACTTGACTGAAAGCTCCCATTGCAGCATTGAAGTGAAGCTGCCACGCCACAGCAGGGCTGGCTGCATGCTTCACAGCTTGGCTCCAGCACTACAGGGCCAGGCAGCTGCAGCACGCTGCTTGCAGCCTGCAATTCCTCCTTGTGAGAGGCAAAGGAAACTTCATTTCCTTCCTGTAAGCTGCCAATCCACCCTGTATCTTGGTGGGCAGCGAAAACCTCAGCCCAAAGGAAGGCTCTGAGCAACTGTGTTCCCCTGTGGGTTGTGGGAGCAGAGCAGAGCAGAGCTCAGGCACACCAGAGACGCAGCAATGTGGGGATAGCAGAGTGGGAGCGACAGCAGGGAGAGCCAGGGGCCAGGCACAGAGCAGGGCTGGATGATGCACACTCAGGGCAGTTTGGTATTTACACCAGCAAACCCATCCAGTGGCAGAAGTCTGGGTCACCAAGGCTGAAGGCAGCTGAGATCCTCTCCCAGCTGCAGGGCACTGGGCACGGAGCGGGCACACGGTGAGTCATGGCACAGAGAGCTCACTGCCACACCGCACTGCTGGGAGGTGGAAGATGCAAGGATTCGCACACACAGGCTTGTGCAGGGCAGGAGGAGGGTTTTAAAGGTCACTTTGTGGTCAAGAGAAGCAAAGGGGGTTGGCCTGCCGTGACGAGGTGAATCTGCAAGGAGAAGGCTGCAAGCAGGGCACCCACATACGGCTACGGACCGAGCAGTGAGGGCTGGGCAAGGGCACCGCTTCCTGCAAGGCACAAGCCCCACAGAAACACCATAGCCTCCCCCCAACCCCTGCTGTAAATCTTCTCCATGGGGACAGACACTTGCTGTAGGTCCCCAGCAAAGTGCTGCCCACAGTACAGAAGCCCAAAACTAGGTAACAACAGAAGCAGGCAACACAGGGAAGAGGCAGGCAGCCAGCACCCCAGGAGACACTGCGACCCACCTCCAGAAAGATTCATTTAGTGTTAAATCACATTGCATCACGGGACGCTGCGAGAAGCCGGCAGCGACCCTCAAATGAAAAACACCCTAAAATAAGAAACAGCAAAGTACTCGTCAAGCCCAGAGAAGGGCTGTCCTTGGCTCCACAACCCCTGTCGGGATCTCTGCCTGCTCTGGTCACTACTGCACCCCAAAAGAAGAGTCTGCAGGGAGGCGGACAGGGCTGGGGACACGCTGCTGCAGGAGGAGCTGGCCCTGCCCAGCCAGCAGGTCAGAGCAAGGATGTGATAGAGGCAGAGAGGAAGGAGTCCTGAGTCCCTCCGTCCCCATACACCATACAACCAGCATGGCAGCAGTCCGCAGGGGTAACAGGAGATCTAATTCCTCAAGGCAGCCAACCTGAAAGGGAAAAGAAGAGAGGAAACTGGCATGAGAGCAGCTGGGAACAGCCTGAAGGACCTGCCAGCCAGGCCGTGCGGGACACAGCTCTGCACAGAAGCCTCCAGAGGCACTCCGGCTGCAGCCTCAAGGGGAGCAGCAGGGAGGGAGCAGGGAGAGGAAGCTCATCGGTTCCTCCTGGGGCAGTTCCAGCAAAACAGCCTGTTCCTGGAGCTGATTGAAGGTCAGCACCAAGTGTTCCAGAGCAGTAGCAGCTGCGTGAGGATGAACGCAGAGCAGGGCGGACGGTTCTGCTCCGGATCGAGAGAAGCCAGGTGCCAGCAGCCACCCCCACCACTAAGTAACCGAATGGTACTTTGCCTGCCTGCACCCTCCCCAGGCCTCACAAAGCGCCACAGGGGCTGCCTGGCAGATGCTGCAAGCTCTAGCTTGCCTGAGCTTGTACCACCAAGGGCTCAGCGTCCACTCAGCCTGCATTAAATCACTGCTCGCATCAGTGAGAGACCCCTGGGAAGAACTCAAAGCCGCCTCAACACGAGGTGAAGGACCTGGGAGAAAACAAACCTCCGTGACAGCTGGTCTTCCTGGGAGCGCATCGAGCTCTCCCCTACTGCTGAAGCACCCTCAGGGAGCTGGTTGAGCTGGTCCATGATCTCCAAACCATTCTCCTCTGCGATCTGCACAATGAGGCTGTCCACCTGCTCCTGTGGTGTGGTCAGCGTGGTAGCGGAGCTCATGGAGTCCTCCATGACCTGCAACAGAGACAGCCTGTCAGCCCACCTCATGGGTAAAGCATAAAGGGGGAGGTGCAGTCTTCCACAGCTCCATCTGAGCAACCTCTAGCTGGGACAGCACCTTTGCTTTCCTTCCCTTGCCTGCTGGTTTGCCCCTTTATACAGCAAACACTTTCTTGGCTAGGCAGCAGTGCTGGGTCCTGCCCAATGTCTCTCATACACCTGAAACACAGAGCAGTCTCATTCACCCAGACCCCTCGAGGCCATCTCCTCTTACCGATGTATGAACATCCAAATTCTGAACCTGCTGCTCGAACTTATCCATCACTGCAGACACCTTCTGTAGGTCCATGGAGCTCAGAGCTTTGTCCAAAGCCTTGGTCACCTGAGCCATGTTTTTTGTCACCTGCAAGAGGATATTGCTTCATGGATGCTGTCCAAAAACAAAGGCATCCCTGCTGAAAGTAAAACCCTGGCACACAGCCCGAGGCAGAGCACAGCCCGAGGAACCACAACACTGCAGCTCCAAGCAGGACGGGTCCCAGCCCACTTCTCTGTAAACACACATGCAATGGCTAGCACAGACAAGAAAGCAGGCATGAGCCTCCTTGATTAGAGCCATAATAAAGCAGCCTGGAGAGCTCTCTGTGGGCATGTCAGAAGCTTCACTACACCAAGAGTGACTGGGCTCATTACAAAGCTTTACAGGACCCTCATCTGAGAACAAGGAAGTCCAAGGTTCAAGGCAGATGAGAAGGGAGGAGCCAACACTCTACACAGGGCACAGACTGCTCTCAGAACCCCGTGCTGAAGAACAAAGGCTCTTACCCCCTTCATTGTCACTGCTGTCTGCACCTTGGAGGCTACCGCATCCACTCGGGAAGCCATGCGGAGCCAGTTCAGCCCCTCGTTCTTCTTGCGGATGGCATTCTCTGCATAGACACGAGCACACTCCACATTCTTCTGCTGAAGGGCCTGGAAGAGCAAAGGGCAACCGCCTGCACCAAGAAACCACTCCATATTTATAAACAAGCACTCCCCTTTTCTGCCTGACAGACTTTCAGCATGAAACAGCTCATCTGCGACCTCTGTAAACACTGAGGACACCCTTGGAAGGGAATTAAATCCCTCAGTGTCACAGTGACACACCACATCTGCTCAGCAGATTCAAGATCTCATGGTGAGACTTCAAAACATATTGAGAGCAAGAGAAGAAACCGCCCCTTTTTCTCCACCCGTCAGCAGCACACAGCTGGTGGGGCACAGGAGGAGGCAGGGTCTCCAGCTGCTCAGCGCAGCATCCAGATGCCAGCATCACCACTTGGTGACAAACTCCCACCCACCTTCTTGACTTTGGCTTGTTCCGCCTTGGAGTCCTTCTCAGCTTTTTTGGCAAGTTTCTCCAGCTGCTTTGCTGTGAACTGGAGAGAGAGCTGCGGGTTAGTGCTAGGACACAGCAGGGGAGCCAGCAGCAGTAGCACCTCTGTGGCACTGGCCACTCACAGGGCACACACAAGGTGCCAACATGAGCTCTGTGAGCTGCTACAGCTTCCTAGCTTAGGGATCCATCAGGTTCTGATGAGGTGTCAGCTCCCTCCAGGGCTGCAATGCTGGCTGTACGAAGGGAAGCTCCCAGAGTACACAGCATGCTGAGGGCCAGTTTTCTTGCTGGGGAGATGGGGACAAGTTTGGCAGTGGTTGCCTGAGGCAAAAGCTCAGCTGATGAGCTCCCTCTTCCCGTAGCTGCTGGCAGCAACGAGCCAAGCACAGCAGCAGCAGCAGCACACTGTGGATCTCTGCAAGCCAGGGTGTTCCATTCCAGTCACTGGCAGCTCAGTTGTTTTTTTTGTTGTTGTTGTTTGTTTGTTTAAATGTGTGCATTATGATTACTCTTACACCCTGCACTCCCTTCGTCTGTCAGCTAGGGAAAACCAGAGCAGCGCCACCCAGACGCCCTGTTCATGCCAACACCGATGGGACAGGCCCTCCTCCCGGGGGCGGCTTTGCCACTGACACCGGAGCGCGAGCATCGTATCGGGGCGCAGGGCCGAGAGCAGCTGCGCCGGGCGGATTCGCAGACTCGGCCCTCGCGCGGACAGCGGGGCACAGGACGGGAGGGGCCAGGAGGGGCTCGTGGCCCAGATGGCGTTACCGGCCCCCGGTAACGAGGGCGGCGCGGAGCAGCGCTACGTTACGGAGCTGCCGGAGGGATTGCCAGGAGCTCACCTTCAGCTGGAAGAGCGTGTCTGCAAGAGAAAGAGAGCATCGCCTCAGCGCCGGGCCTCAGCACCGCGACACACCGGAACCCAGGCCGAGACAGGCCGAACCCAACGCACCCCGCCTCGCTCCACGCCGGGAGGCCCCACAGCCCGCACGCAATACGGCGGGACCGCGCCAGGCCCAGTACGGCGGAGCCCCCCCCTCAGCTCTCCTTACCGTCCATCCTGCCCCGCCGCCGCTTCCGGGTATCGCCGCCGCTTCCGGGTGCGGCCACTGCTGCTTCCGGGGTGCGCGCGCCACCCTGTGACGATGGCGCCCCCTGGCGGCGGGGCGGGCACGTGGGCGGGGATGGAGATGGAACGGCGGCCCTGCGCCTCGCGGACGGGGTCGGGGCGTGGTGCGGCCTGCGGGGTGGGGTGTCAGAACGGTGACGTGCGTGTTGCCGGGACACCACAAAGGGACCGAGACCACGCCAGCAGCCATGGGGCAGCTGCTCTGCAAGGACATAGGCACAAAGGGTAATGGGGTCCCATACGGCGTGCTGTGATGGGGACAGGGATAGGAATGGGGGTAGGAATGGGGACAGATGAGGATGGGGTGAGGATAGGAATGGGGATAAGGAACGGGGACAGGGATGCTTCTCTGGGCACACATGGAGCTGCCGCTCACCTCAGTCACCCGCCCTCATTTTGAACTCATTTCTTTCAAGACAGAATTTTATTTCCAGCCTGGTCTTGCAGGCACAGGGAGAGATCAAGGAATGACACATCACAGGCCGCTGCTATTGATGTGCTGTAAAATCTCTCAGATCTGTGATGTTTCAATCTTCTGCCTCCTCACTGCCCCACAAAAGAGAGCACAAAGTGAAGTGCTTCCCGTTGTGTTCTCAGATGGCCAGGTTTTAACAAGCAGCTTTGTAAGTAGCAAAGGGGTCTGGATATGGGGGGAACAGGTGGGCAGTGGCTCTCACTGGGGCTCTGAAAAGCTCTGAAGTTTCAGATGTGTCTCCTTTCTTGTCAGGGCAGTCATGGAGCTCTTTGTTGTGTTGGAGCTGCGTGCTGCAGCAGTGTCTCAAGCCTGCTCAGCTCCTCTGCAGCAATTTATTGTGATCTCTCACATCTGCTTTTTTTTTTTTCCCCTCTGTTCATTAGATTCGGCACAAGACTTCACCAATGAGAAACAAACCATTCCTACACCCCGCATTTCTGTGACACCGCCCCTGGATGAATGCACTGAAGCAATGTCAATGGAAGGTCCTCCCACCAAGGCAGCAACCAGCGGGGGAGCTGGGCAGAGCCAGGAGCCGGACAGCGGGGCGAACAAGGAGAAGCCATGACCCACAGGCAGAGGCTGCTCATTGCCCACCATGACTCCTGCGTGCTTACGGACAGGGAGACCACCAGAGCCCACCCTTGAGCCTGGCCCTCCCCAGCTGGAGAGGAGCCGGGCAATAAAAGCGAGTGCTTGGAACGAGGAGGTGGTTGATGACAGAACGGCGATTCGGGGAGCGGGGGCCGCCCGGCCGAGCGCAGGCCTGAAGGCCGCGCGTTGCCTAGCAACCGTTGCTCGGGCCCAGCGTGAGCGGCAGGGCCGAACGGCGCATGCGTGAGACTGGGGCTTGCCAGAGCGCATGCGTACAGTGGGCGGGAAGTGGTGTGCGCATGCGCGTCACAACTATGGCGGACGGAGACCGCGCTGAGGGAGCTCCGGCCGAGAGCGAGGTGGAACCGTTGCGGTTCCAGCGGCTGTGGGGAGAGGGCTACTTCGAGGTGCCGGCATCTGAGCGGGTGAGGGGCCTGCGCCCGAAGGGAGGCTTCTGAGGAGCGTCGGTTGTGGGGTGGCCCTGCGGGTGGGTGGGCCCTGTGCTGAGGGGACGTGAGGAGCGCCCGCCGCTGCGCCCCGCGTTCTGAACGCGGGTGAGGGAGATGAGGGGGTTTTATAGCAATCAGAACAAAGGTGTGGAATGACTGGAGTCACTCCAGCTCCACCTCTAGAATAACAGGTACTGTAGAGATGTCTTAAGAGAGAGGGAAGAGTAGGGAGGATACCATTGCAGGCAGGTCAGATACAGACCATCTCTGATTCTCTGGGCAGCCTGGTCTAGTATTAAAAGGGGAGGTTGGTGGCCCTGCATGTGGCAGGGGAGTTGGAGATTCATGATCCTTGAGGTCCTTTCCAACCCTGGCCATTCTGTGATTCCTGGCATCAGTTGATGGACTGAGCCTCTCTCCTATCCCTACCCCCATAAGGACACCTTCTGGGTAAGGCTCACACACAGAGGCTTCCCTGGGAAACTTTGTAGTCTCTGCAGAGCTTTAAAAATTAGCAGCTTTTGGCCTGGCTCTATTACTCTTAGTTCCTTGTATGTGCTTTGCATTGTTCTTGGTCGACCTCACATGCTTTGCCTGCAGTTGTTTGTGAATCTGTAATTGTGATAGTTCACAATTGATAGTTGAACACAACCAGACTTGCAGTGCCAGATTGGGCATCGCTCAGAGTGTTGCCCTTTATTTTGATTGCTGTCTGCTGTCAAGGTTGTAGCACTGTGGGAATGTTGGTGAGAAGCTGCTGAGGGCTGCCCCTGAGAGAGAGCCTTTGGCTGTGATGTGGCTCTTTGGTTCCAGCTGGGGAAATGCCGGAGCGTGAAGGAGTTTGAGAAGCTGAATCGGATCGGAGAGGGCACCTATGGCATAGTGTGTAAGTGTGGTGTTGGCTGGAGCCCGGGTGGAAGGGTGGGCCTGTAGCACATCTGCCCACACCTGGGGGCTGTGGGACCGAGGCTGAGAGGAGTGACGCTCAGCAGTGCCTGTGTCCCTTTGGCTAAAGCTTATGCTGAGCACCTGCCCTGTGCTGCTCTTCCAGACCGTGCCCGGGACACTGTGACAGATGAGACTGTGGCACTGAAGAAGGTGCGGATGGACAATGAGAAGGAAGGTACATGAGGAACAGGGACGGCTCCTCGTGGCAGGTGTCAGTGTTCCTGGCCTCCGCCTGAGGCAGTTGTGCAGTGTGGTTCTCACTGCCCTCAGGAATGCCCATCAGCAGCCTGCGGGAGATCACCCTGCTCCTGGAGCTCCAGCATCCCAACATCGTGGAGCTGAAGGAGGTGGTTGTGGGGAACCATCTGGAGAGGTGAGAGCCTCCCTGCCCTCCAGCCTTCAGAGGAGATGCTGCCTCGGTGCTCTCAGGTGCCTTTCGCAGTGCTGAGCAGTGAAATGCCTGTGTCTCCTGTCCAGTATTTTCCTGGTGATGGGCTACTGTGAGCAGGACCTTGCCAGCCTTCTTGAGAACATGCAGACACCTTTTTCGGAGGCTCAGGTAAAGACTGGGCCAGGCTTTTGGGAATGTCATGCTCGAGAAAGGGCCACAACACTATGGCCACCAGTGTGGATTCCTTGCAGTTTGCAATCCACCTTATGCTGGTAGCTTCAGCAGGGCTGGCTGGTGCTGTTCACGTGCTGGGGAACACTCCTGTCCTCTTTCTTCAGGTGAAATGCATCATCTTGCAAGTCCTCAAGGGTCTGCAGTACCTTCATGAGAGGTACATCATCCACAGGTGAGAGCAACGGGAGAGGCTGGGTGTGTGGTGGGGAGGAGGAGTTGCTGGGAGGCAGCCTGATGAGCCCCATAACTGCGTGTCGGTTGCTCAGCTCACACAACTCTGGGAGCGAGGAGCACTGTGTGGAGAAGCTGTGGGCAGGGGCTTGCAGCAAACCCTCGGCTTTGCTGTGCAGTGTGGGAGCCAGGGTAGGGAAGGCAAGGGATGGTGAGATTCACCTCTCTTAGTGATCAGTCAGCAGTGGGGCTCTTTGTCCTCCCGAGTCCCTGGGGAAGTGCATGCACAGGAGAAGGTGTGCCTGGCAGACAGTGCTGACTGCCGCTCGGTGTTCCCCATAGGGATCTGAAGGTGTCCAACCTGCTCATGACTGACAAAGGCTGTGTGAAGATAGGTGAGCCCCTGGCTGCTGCCTTGTCTCTGGCAATTCAGCTGCTGCTGCAAGTGTGCCTGCAGCTCTCCCTCTGCTCCACAAGCAGGCAAAGCATGGAGCTTGCCTCTTTCCTTACCTCGGGTCCGTTTCTTTCTTGCAGCGGATTTTGGTCTGGCACGTACATATGGGATGCCACCACAACCCATGACCCCCAAAGTCGTCACGCTGTGGTGAGTGCAGTGCAGGGTGCTGAGCTGTGCTGGCTCAGGGTGATGTGGAGCACATATTTGCAGCGCTGTCACTGGGGGCAGGGGGCTTCCTGTGCTGCAGCTAAAGATGGTGCCTTCCCTGCACAGGTACCGAGCACCCGAGCTGCTGCTAGGAGCGACGACACAGACCACCAGCATTGACATGTGGTAAGGGCAGGGGACAGGAGAGGCTGAGGCTGGCTGGGTGGTGCCTGGGGGGTTCGTAGGAGCCAGGACATCGACAGAGGGATTTCTGCTGCCCCTGCCAACTCCTGTGTGTCCTCTGCACTGCAGGGCTGTGGGCTGCATCCTTGCTGAACTGTTGGCTCACAAGCCACTGCTGCCAGGCACGTCTGAGATCCACCAAATAGACCTCATTGTGCAGCTCCTGGGGACACCCAATGAAAACATCTGGCCGGTGAGAGTTATCCCACAGCCCTGCCAGCCCTTGTGGCTCTTCTGGCCTTCCTGCCCAGCCTGATGCCCCCCCTACCCCTTCCCTCAGGGCTTCTCCAAGTTGCCCCTGGTGAGTCAGTACACGCTGCGGAAACAGCCTTACAACAACCTCAAGCACAAGTTCCCCTGGCTCTCCGAGGCCGGGCTGCGTCTGCTCAACTTCCTCTTCATGTACGATCCCAAGAAGCGGTAAGAGCCACTGTGTGGGCAGGGCTTGGGGCAGGCCCCTGCCTGCTGATGGGGCTGCCCTCGTGGCGGGGTCAGCTCAGTGCTGTGGGCAGGTGCTGGAAGGGAACTGGGACCATGGAGGAGCGCGGGCAGGATGGGGAGTGGGAGAGCTGTCAGGCTGTGGGGGTGAGGGAAGGTGGCAGCACATTTGGGCTGGGAGCAGAGCTTACCACATCTTGTCCCCACAGGGCAACGGCAAAAGACAGCCTGGATAGTTCATACTTCAAGGAAAAGCCCCTGCGTAAGTACATTCCCCACCAGCCAGGGCCACAGTGCTTGGCCTCTGCTGACCTGTTTCTGTGCCTCCCCAGCCTGTGAGCCAGAGCTCATGCCCACCTTCCCCCACCATCGCAACAAGCGGGCAGCCAGCGCCAGCACAGGGACTGAGAGCCAGGCAAAGCGTGCCAAGCCCTGAGCCCCGTCCAGAAGGAGGAGGTGCAGGGAACTCAAGCAGGGATTGCTGTTGCCAGGGCTGGGCACTGGCTCCCGCCCTGCTGCTGGCCAGGCACGCAGCTCTCCTCGGCGATGCAGTGCTGGGTGCTGTCACCTCATGGGATGGCTCCTGGCCACATTGCCCCAGTCCCTCAGCAGTTGCATTTAGGGGTACTGCCTTGGTTACCAATGCCCGTGCTCAGCCCCGTGCAGAGCTTCTCATGTTGGGAACATCCACAGCCTTCCAGCCTAGCAGAGCCCAAGCATTGTATAGTGCTGGCTTCCTTCTGCCCTGGAGTGAGGGGGCAACAGCCTGGAGCTGTGAGCACAGCACGGGGTGGGTTTCAGCCTCCTCCCCTGGGGGAGGGATGGAGGCATGGACTGAAAGGGGGGGAGATGGGGGTTTGGTACAGAGATGCTGGTAGTCTGGCAGGACCAGCTCTGGCCTGTACTGGCTGCGTGGTGCAACCCTGACTCACTGTCAATAAAAACAGCTGCAAAGGGCAGTGGTGGTGAAAAATTCCCTAGGCCATAGAATCACAGAACGGCTTGGGGTGGAAGGGACCTCAAGTTCCAACCCCCCACCACAGGAAGGGCCACCAACCTCTACAGCTGTTACCAGACCAGGCTGCCCAGGACCCCATCCAACGTGGTGATGAACACTGCCAGGGATGGGGCATCCACAGCCTCTCTGGGCAGCTGTTCCAACACCTCGCCACTGTGTAAAGACCTTCCCTGACATCCAACCTAAACCTTCCTTCCTTGACCTTAAAACCATTCCCCCTTGTCCTGTCATTGTCTACCTGGGTAAAAAGTCAATTCCCTTCCTTTTTATAATCCCCTTTTAAATATTGGAAGGCTGCAATGAGGTCTCCTCACATCCTGCTCTTCACCAGGCTGAAGCCCAGCTCCCTCAGCCTGTCTTTGTAGGGGAGGTGGCCCAGCCCTCTGTTCATCTTAGTGGCCTTCCTCTGGACCCTTTTCAACAGCTCCACATCTTTCCTGTACTGGGGGCTCCAGACCTGGACACAGTGCTGCAGATGGGGCCTCACCATGGCAGTGTAGAGAGGGACAATCCCCTCCCTGTCCCTGCTGCCTCTCCTCTTCTGATGGAGCTCAGGAGACCCTCAGCCTTCTAAGCTGCGTGAGCATCCAGCTGGCTCATGTTCAGCTTTTC